ATCCCGAGGTCTGTTTGCTACTAGCTGCATTCCAGGATGTTCCGGGCTTCGTCCCGAAAAATGCTGGCTGTACTGCCCAGATATCTGTAGTAAGCATTATTTCGGGGGTCGAACTGGTGCAGTGGTTCTGGCAGCTATTGCGTACCAGAAATCCCAAGCAGCATGAGTTGCATTTTTTATGGGACCGGTAAATTTTCGCGCCAACTGCAAACTGAGGCCGTCCTCATCCTCTGCATTATTATCCTATTTCGTTTCAGGGTGAATTCACTGTGTGGTGCGCTGAAGTGCGTAAAAGAGCGGTTGCCGGAAGGTACAAAATGGCTTCCCGATGGTTACCACGTTATATGGAAAATGTTTATCGAAAAGATCCAGAAAAAGGTGCTGAAGCGGTGAGCACTTTTATTTCCAATTTTTGCTATTTTCCAAGATTCCAGTGTTTCCTTCTTCTGAGAAATGGCACTATTGCTTTTCTTTGGTGCGCCGTGATATTCCTGAAAATATTCTTTTTTGTTGGTGGAATTTGTGCAGTGAATTTGCTATCGGAAATTGTGGGCAAAGTTTTTCTTGAAAAATCCAAGTTGCTCGTTTGCCTGAAAAGCCAGTGCCTGTGCTTAAAAATGAGGAACATTTTACTGGAAAGTTATATCAACAAGACGGGTGAAATAAGAAAAATCAAAAAGGGAAGTTAATTTGTGGTTATTTTTGAGGTGACCGAACAATGGCTGAAATGTGAGGCGCAAAAGTTGCTGGAAAAAATAACGCGGAAATCAATGAGTGGTGATGACCTGCACGGTGGCGCATATACGGGTGGAGCAGGCCTGGCCTATGCTCTGCTCAAAGCCTCATCGTTCCCGTTTGCGGCCGGTCAGGAGGAGGGCTTACTGGATGCCGGGAAACGTATTCTACAGCAACATCTGGAAACAGCTCAAAAAGTGAGGTTTTTCGGTGGATTTTTTCATCCATGTTGCTAAAAAAGCTCTCAGCAAATGGCATTTTTATCGATGATTGGGGAAGAGGGGGAGGGGAGGGGCGAAATTTTAAAAAAAAAATTCAAGCTACATTCAAGAAACTTTTGTTTCCATGGTAGCTTGGTTTTCATCGTTATTGGTTGGGGAAGAAGTCATTTTCTGGCAAGTTATTTTCGGAATTTTTGAGAGTATATGTTTTTGATTTTCGAAAACTAGGCCCTACGGCTTTGCCTTAGGACAACATCTGGTGGTGTTCGATGTAGTGGGATATGGGACCACGATGATAAATCGCTTGTTGTATCTTACAGGGTGATTCCAAAGAAATAATAAAAACTAGTAAGCATCAAATCGGTCAGAGAGTCACCTAGCCATTCCCGGTGTTGTCCGTGGTTTACAGAATGATGTTTGCAGAAGGAAGCAGGCCGAGAAACGTGCTATTTATTGGGATCGTTGAGTGTTTATGTGGTTGCCATACTGTACGAAGGCGGAAACGAGCAGGAACCAATTGATCGTTTGATCGAAAGTGGTAATTTGATCGCAAGCAAAGACGTCTCCGGTGAAGGAGATGATGAATTGCTGGCCGGTCGTGCTGGATTCTTGGCTGCCGCGCTCACCCTCAGGGTTTTCCCAAGCTTCGTATCTTTTTTTTCTCTCGGTATCCATATGCCTGATCGACTTGCATACCAAGCGTTAGGAGCGAAAAAAAAAATAAAGGCGAGTTCGGCTAGTACCAGCGTACGAGTAGAAATAAATGTTAAATTCATTTAAGGGAACATATCAAGAAAAAAATTATTCCTGACCACTGCATCAGAGGTGTTCTGAACAAAATGATTGACTCCGGTCGACGTTATGCAGCTGCAGGACGGTTCCCCGTGCCGCTAATGTATCGCTATCACGGTCGTCACTATCTGGGTGCGGCACATGGTATGATGGGCATTTTACAGATGTTGCTTTGGTAAATTTTTTTTTTATGTTAACATGCCATAAACTTATTCGACCCTAACTGCGTCGCTTGTTCCTAGTCAGTGTTGATTTGATTTAAATTGCGTGTGAACTAGAATGTAGTGGTTACTTGGTACTGTGCTAACTCGAAAACTTGCCAGAAAACAGTGGCTGAAATTTTGTCAGCATGTTTATCTCCCGTATCGGAAATCATA